GGTATTTTTTTTCCTTCAGACGACGTCAGTCTTTGGTCAGAACAATCTGAGTTATAAGGGTCAGACTCAATCACTAGTATGACTACACTGAAGCCATTAGTATTTAGATGTTTGATGTTTTATATAAGCCATTGTTCATGATATTGGCATACAATCTTGTCAGTCTTGCCAGGTGAAGCATTTATTTTTTTAAATCCTGTATGCTGGGAAAATCGCAGCTAATAATGGAAACAGATTGTGTGGTAGCAGTCATATTTGGTTTTTATTTAATAGAATTCTAATGCTTTCATTTCTTGTTTACATAAGTGTACTGTCATAACAACTCCAGGAAACAATTTACACAATGCAGTGTACAGCATGGATTACGTACAGAGAACATTCAGCTCTATTGGAGGCCGAACAGGGGAATTGATTTTATAAAGCATCATGTGGAGGTTTTTCCTAATATCCTAAGTCAAGTCTCTTAAATGTGATATAGTCTCTATTTGAACTAATAGTTAATGTACAATCCATTTTGGAGTGGTCCAATGGAGTGGTCTGATGTAAATTACATTTATATGATACTTTCAGTTTTTTGGGAGGGTGTATCATCTATTTCCGCAAAGTGGGGTTTCTTTGGGTTTCTGCGTAAATGCAAACAGCGTTACAATTGCAGTGACTCAAAGGCTGGTTCTAATGAAGCACATGGATGTGCTTTGTGCTGTGGTTTGGCAAACACTTGGTCCAAACATATTTTGTGGTCTATGCTTTTCTGCCACTTTCAAACTTTTTTTGACAGAATTTAAAACAGTTCTCACTTCCCATAGAGATGAAGTGGCATGGCCAACTTTTTATGTCAAAGGTCTTTTTAGAAAAGTGAAAGACTAGTGAATTATTTAATAATCATACATCTGGAATTGTTTCTTTCAATTTATTTGTTGCCTTCCCACTGAAAGAACAATGCAAGAATAAACTTCAAATGTGCATGCTGCTAAAAGGCCAATAAAGTTGTGCTGTGTAATTCTTCATGCCTGCTTGAATTCTCAGCACAGCAGATTTCACATAGTTTTACAGAAGGAATCTGATGCTTGGCCCATGTTGTTACTGGGGTGCAGATCTTAAGGGCTTTGTTTTGGTTCATGTGTATTGGCGAGGTCTGGATTTGGGGCTAGTATTAGTTGTGAAGCCTCTAAGGGCCATATAGAGGTTGAACCATTTAACTTCAACCATGGATCATGAGTTTGGTGCCTGATTCATGTTTCCCAGGGTGTTCACATGACAAATCAAAACAGGGTGTCTAAAAATTTAATTATGGGTATTTTTTTTCCTTCAGACGACGTCAGTCTTTGGTCAGAACAATCTGAGTTATAAGGGTCAGACTCAATCACTAGTATGACTACACTGAAGCCATTAGTATTTAGATGTTTGATGTTTTATATAAGCCATTGTTCATGATATTGGCATACAATCTTGTCAGTCTTGCCAGGTGAAGCATTTATTTTTTTAAATCCTGTATGCTGGGAAAATCGCAGCTAATAATGGAAACAGATTGTGTGGTAGCAGTCATATTTGGTTTTTATTTAATAGAATTCTAATGCTTTCATTTCTTGTTTACATAAGTGTACTGTCATAACAACTCCAGGAAACAATTTACACAATGCAGTGTACAGCATGGATTACGTACAGAGAACATTCAGCTCTATTGGAGGCCGAACAGGGGAATTGATTTTATAAAGCATCATGTGGAGGTTTTTCCTAATATCCTAAGTCAAGTCTCTTAAATGTGATATAGTCTCTATTTGAACTAATAGTTAATGTACAATCCATTTTGGAGTGGTCCAATGGAGTGGTCTGATGTAAATTACCAGTGACATTTATATGATACTTTCAGTTTTTTGGGAGGGTGTATCATCTATTCCCGCAATGGGATGGACATAACACATACGGCATTTGTCTTTTTACACTGCAAAAAAAAAGAAGCAAAACAAAAATTTCTTAATTCTTAATCAGTTTTTTGTCTTCTTTTCCAAGAAAATATCTAAACATTCATAAAGCAAAATAAAATCGCTTTCAGATAATATATTTATTTAATTACATTTTACTTACCCAGCTGGTAAACTGTTTTAAGCATAAATCTGACATAATTGTGTGGTTTATGCTTAAAACAAGAAAAATATATATATATTTGCAAATGGTGTAAGAAACTTAATTCAACATAAATTCTCTGAAAATGTTTTGTTTTTCAAGAAAGGATGTTTAGATATTTTGCCTGTAAACAACACAAACATACTAAATAAGAAGGATTTCTTGCAGCGTAGGCATTTCTCAGAAACAGAATAATAGATCAAATTTACCTGGATGTATTTTACCTGGATAGTGACATACTATTTTGAAATCCTCATCAACATTTACTTATAACTAAAGATTAACGAGATAAAAAAAAACAAAAGCAAAAAACTATTACATACACTTAACACAGAACACACAGGCAAAATAGATAACATAAACATTTGACATGAAATCAAACTTGTTGAACACTGCTCAAAGACACCTGACAAAATCCACAGGCACTTTCTGGTGATGGACACTCTTTGAGTGTTCAAATTCAATCTGTTTTAAGTGCTACGAAAGTAAACTGTCTCTATAAAATACTGCTCTCAAAGAATAAATCTATTTGAAATTTTTACACATTACGACAACCAATCAATTTAACATTCTATGAAAATATAGCCATATTGTCGATATATTATACTCACATCACCACCCCCTGAGAAGCATCAATCACTCAGAATTCTATTGTATTGTCATCACAACTCTCTCTATTTGATGTCTGCCAACTTCTCTGCTCTGTGTTAAGAATCAAAGCATGGGATAAACACAAGCCAGTCTGTTCTCAGCGCATTCCCGCAGACAGACAGAGATCTTATCTTGATCTCATCAGGTTCTCTCAAGTAGGCTAATATCAGAACAAACATCAGCGAAGTGCCCCACGAGTGAACGTTCAACCCATGATGTGCATTAAACACTAGCATGCGAGCAACTCCAGAAGCCAATGATATGCTTCGCTGCCTGATTTAATGGAAGGCGCAGCTCCAGGGGAGATGCACGCTACTAATGCCATATAAAAGCTGATGGAGCCGACAACCTGCCTGCCAAAAAAGCAGGAGGCAGCGATGTTCCACCGACTCATATAGCAAACTTTAAGGTAATGCATGACTTCAGGTAGGAACTGAATTAGAGTCTTAATAGTTTAAGCCAGTCAGTTACTTGCATTGAGTACAGGAATAATGGCCCTGCTGGAAAATCCAGCTTAAGCTGCTAGCGTTTTTTTTTAACATGATAGTCGGAAAACCACCAGGAAACAGCTACCAGGTCATACCAGCTTAAGGTGGTCAAGTTGGCTTGAACAAAGCTGGCAGGTCAACCAGCTAAAGACTAGCAATGTTCCAAAATACAGCTACCTGCTTAAGATGGATTTTGCATGGTGTTGTTGTATCAAAATGTGATTTCCTGTAGATTAATCACTGATGTACACTCTTAAAAATAAAGGTTCTTTAATGGTTCCATTAAAGGTGCTGTATGTAAGTTTTTGACTCTACTAAAGCATAAAAATACCATAATATGTTTGCAGATATTTAAGAAACATGAAGAATATATATTTAAGTTAACATACTTGTGTATCTGAAAAACAATGCTACAGTCAGTGTGTTCCAGGCCGGAATGTCGGTCTCTGTTTTGGTTTGTGAAACCCGCCCACTGCCAGTTTACCCAATTGTATTTCGGCACCCCGGGTTGCCAGTTGGCAGAAAACACAGCGTATTTCATTTCATTCATCGTCAAGTGCGCTCGTTCCTGTTGGTGTCGTCAATCTGGCAACCTGCGTGTGCGTCAAGTCTGAGGAGGAGGGGCCGGGTGAAAAAAAACCTCTCCAATATTTTGAATTTGGACTGCAATACCTAGTTCAACCACTCAGTGTCAATCCTACATACAGCACTTTTAAGAACCTGTAACGTTCAAAGAAGATTTCAATTGCACAATTGGTTATTTTAAGTGGAAATAGGTTCTTTAGAAATTTAGAGTGTTCTTAACACTAAAAGGTTCTTTGGGGAACCCAAAATGGTTCTTAAGTTGCATCACTGTGAAAACATCTTTTGGAACCTATTTTTAAGACTGTAGGAATATTAGTGGAGCTGAGAGCAGAAAAGTTGGATGGTGAGTCCCAGAATGGAGAGGCAGAGCTCCAGGGAAGGGAATCCGAGCAGTGCGGATCCCCGGGAGAGTGAACTGACTGTGGGGAAGAAAAACGGAAAGCTTCAGGGGTAATTACGACCTGCCGGACAGGAATGTCTCACTAATGCCTCTCATGTTTATTCCAGAGCCTGACAGTGAGCGCATTAGAAATGCAACGAAAGACACTCCATTGTTAGGTCCCTAACGTCTATTTACAATATCCATTGGATGGATAGAAAACAGGAAGCAAAGACTATTTTTAGTTGTTCTGTTTTTTGTTGTATGTTAACTTGTTTGTTTGGTTAGACCATTCCGATTTACTCTAAAGCTTATATAATAATGTTAAGGTACTTTTTATTGCCCCTTAGTCCAGGTCAGTGATGCATCCTTAGACCAGCTCTCTTTCTCAGCTTCCAGCTCATGACTGCTGAGATGGTTGAGTAATTCAAACCACATTATAGCATCTGAATCTGCATCAGCATTCATGGAATGAATCATGTAACCAAGACAAAGAGTGAGAAAGAAAGAGCAAATGTGGCAACAAAAGATGAAGAAAACCTAGACAGATGACTCATCAAGAGCTACAGTAAGAATCATTGATTGCAGAGTCTAAGAAAAAAAGATGAGCTTGTGAGACTTAAGTCAGTGTAGTTACTGGTTATTCATATGACAATATGTAGTTAAAGATACACATTTGGAGTTTTCAGTTTTCAACTTAAAGTAACTTCATATAAGCAAAATATTATAGTTTTTGTTTAGTAAATAGTTAAGACAAATTGTTAAGGTGGCCGATAAGGTTTCCTCAAAAGTACTAAAAGAATCATTACAGGAATCATTAACGAACATGTGCTGCTAAGTTGAATCCAAATCAAACCTGAATTAATGGTAGGACATAAACATGGTGATTACTTCTAGGAGTGCATGATGGCATGAAAATATTTGTGTAGCTCTTTAGTTCTGGTTTCTCTTTGCACTGTGACTCAGATTTCTGAAGAGGTAAGGCGAGAAGATCTAAGCAATGAAACCTAAACTGCAGTAACTAGAGGAAGGCAGGGAATATGATACACTATGTGTGTGTTTTATAGAGAAAAGGTTGTGAAAGAGAGAAAAAGGAAGGCGAGCTAAGTATAGATCTGAGTCATTACATTATTAAAGGTCAGCAAATGTCACAGTCGTGAGTTGTTGCCCATAAACACTGACCTGCGATCAGCTGCTTTGAAACTAGACGGCGACTGGTAGTTCTGCACTAACTGCATACAACCCCCCAAAGTTTTAACACACACCTGAAAATGTGTACAATTCTGATTAAATAAAGGGCCTTGATGTTATAGACAAAATCTATTAATACTTCAAAGATAAGGCAAAAACGAAATCCTTATTAGATCAGGCAGAAGGCTCCAGGTGGAGGAACCATGGTGCAGCTGCTAAGTTGCGCGATATCCGTGAAGCCTGTGTTAGCGTCTCTTTGCATCCTCTTGTGAAGCCCGGGACATCCAGAGTTTGTGTCACAAGGGCGCATTAATACATCTGAGAAACCCAGTATATGTTAAACATTCATCAGAGTTTGTGGTGGGTTTCAGTATACATTATGGTGAACTTTCTTCAGGGTAATAGGCTTATGTTTATTTAGAAGTAGCTATTTTAAGCCAGTGAGTCTGATCGCTGAAGTGGATCCATTGGTGCTGTTGAACCAGCTCATCAATGAATAGTTCTTGCTGGGTTCAAAAGGATCAAAGGTCTTGTCTCTGTGTCCCTTGCTAGATGGCCATCATGGCTTCGCTCCTCCATTCTCCTCTTTCTGCTTCCTTGTTTCCTTCACTCCAACCTCTCATCCCCTCTTTATTGTTATATTGATAACATAGCGTCCTCCTCCTCACTGGTTAGGCCTGAGGTGGGGGGGAGTCAGGCTGAGCCCCTCCATCCACTCTCACCACTAGAGGAATAAAGAGAAAGAAAACGTTAGTGGTTCATGGTTAAATGTTTGCGAGTCAGTGACTATACTAATTTATTATTTACTAATTTAAATCATTTTCTTCTCTGTCTTTGACAATTCATTTTAGCGAATCCTTTGGTTCATTCAAAGGATTCATTTTAAACACTTGTTCCTGAAACTGAATTTTAGTTCATTAGTGCTGATTTGTCCCGAATTACTTAATTGACTGCATAAAATTTCTCTATACAGGATTAATAGTGCACACCAATAATTTTTTGTAATTACACACACACACACAACTATCCAAAAATATTAGGTCAGTCATTCGTTCGTTCATTTGTTCATTCGTTTGTTCGTCCGTCTGTTCGTTGGTATGTTCGTTCATTCATTTGTTTGTTTGTTTGTTTGTTCATTCGTTCATTTAATTATTTATTAAATGTTTCAGAAAGAAGTATCTTATGCTTACCAAGCCTGTATTTATTTGATAGAAAATACTGTAAAACAGTAATATTGTGAAATATTATTACAATTTAAAATAACTAATTTCTTTAATATATTTTTAATTTGTACTTTATTCCTGTGATACAAAGCTGAATTTCCAGCATCATTGCTCCAGTCTTCAGTGTCACATGATCCTTCAGAAATCATCCTAATATGCTGATTTGATTTATTGTCATTATCAATGTTGAAAACAGTTGTGCTTAATATATTTGTATAAACAGTGATACATTTTTTCAGGGTTCTTTGATAAATAGAAAGTTCAAAAGAACAGCATTCATTTGAAATATATATATATATATATATATATATATATTTGCTTTTTTTTGTAAGTGTAAAAATTGACATTTTATGTTGTCACCCTAATTTATATTCTTATTGTTTATTGTGCCACACAAAAACTGCCTCAGTGTAGTAAGCTATTTTTTGCTAGTGTAGATCATTTTCAAAATTGTGGTTTGACTGTAGTTGAACTTCTTTGACTAATGAATAACTTTAAGCAAGGTCACAGTAACTTCCCTAAAAGTGAACAGTGAATATTACAGAATATTACAGAATATTACACTAGGGGGCTTTCAGTTTGTTCTAACACTGTTTGACACTTTGTATCTGTGTCGACTAGTCATGGATCACACAACTTCAGTAATGAATATAGTTGACTAGAAAAAATATTATTTGTGCATGAATAGTAGTATAACTTTAAATATTATTGGTGTGCACTAAATAATCCTTTACAGAGAAATATAATGCACTGCCTCATGTCATGTCAAAATGAAATACTGAAAACTTTTTCTCACTAAATAACATGCAGGTTCCATTTTTAGCTGATTTGAGGCGAGCAGTCCCCCTGGAGCTCTGAGCATCCCGTTCCCCTCTGCCTGCCCTAACCATTTAACTGCAATCACTACTACATTCAGCCTGAGACCAATACCAAAAAAAAAAAAAAAAACCTTTTTCCCGTCTTGTATATGACATCATAGCAGTCTATGGAGACAAATGTAGCCATACCCACCCACTGGAGAAACAAAAGTCTACTGTTTAATTAGACAAAAAAAATTAAATTAGAATTTTCTTACAGAGGTAAGACATGCCAAGACCACTCAATAGAAAATCTAGGATTCATTCCATATGAAGTCAACTGTGTACACTATAAACAAGCAGTATAAAAAGGCAAAAAAAAAAATACTGTAGTGCTCAATAAAAACTCATTTAGATTTTTGGGTGGTAAAATACAACTTGTTTATCATATTCTATTCACACTCTCTATCAAACCTGGAAATGCTACAGTCTTTTGTCCCATGAGGGGCGTCCTACATTTTCAGTGTCCTCAAGTGGGGGATGCCGTATTTTGAAATCGCATTCTCTCGGCCTACTGAGGGTAGTTCTGATCAAACGTTATGCTCAAGAGCACTGAGAAAGTGTGAGAAAATGTGCGTAGGCAAATAGTAAACATAATATTTCAATGTGGCTTCTTCTGTCATAGTTAAATATAGTTCAGCAATATTATGCACACTATATGCAAAGGCACATATACAAAAGGCAATGGACTGTTTGTGATTTTGACTCATTTTTTAATGAGTCAAATAAAAATAAAAATAAAACTCCCATGCACAGAAAAGTCTTGAACTGTATCAAATGTAAATAGATGTAAATAGAGAGGCGAGGGACATGTACCTTTAAAAGGATAGTTCACCTTCGTGTTATTACAGATCTGTGTGATTGACTTTCTTCTATATCTTCTATTTATTTGAAATATCTTTAGTATGTCATACAGTATACTAAAGTAAGTCATACAGGTTTGGAATTAAATTAAGACAAAAGCTCCAAATGTCAGTGTTAAACCTGCACTGACAGAAGGGAAAATGGGGCATTTAGATGGATGAGAATGAATCTGAAATGTATATATAGAAAGGAAGAAAAGCATAGAGTGATATCAGAAAAGGTGCCTGAAATTTGCTATGGTTCATGTCGTATTGTCAGCCTTCGACCAGCTCATAGGATGCACAGCCCGATGGGAATTGTCCCGAATCTCCCGATTAGCTGCTCAGACCTTGGCAGATGGCGTGACTGATCTTCATGTTGAGCAAAGTGTGGATCCATGCGATCACAAGTGCCTGAACCGAAGAGGACTGAATTCCTTTAAAAAATTAAATACCCTTTCACCTTCATCCATCTCCTCTGATATCCACTCATCCATTCGTTCGTTCCCTAGAGTCTAGTGAAAGCTTGGAAAAGTAAGAGCTGCTAGAGAGTGACAGAGAGGAAGCGAGAAAGAAATACTGGTATACCAGCACTAACTGCTGACGGTCTGTCGGTAACTCCTCCTGAACTACTGACACAGCACATTTACACCAGTTAATCAAGTTATTTGTCACTCCTAATTGACGGCAACAGTCAACAGAGACCGGTGACTCTAACTAAGAGTAAAATGAAGAGATATGTACAGACAGGAACTGCTGATTCTGCAGTACATTCACTGGCCTCTTGGGTGCTTTAACAAGTTCGCACTATTAGCTAAAAAACATTCATCTGCACACATTTCTGAACACACCATGTGGGTCGTCTGAACGTTTTAATGATTCCTTAGAAGCAGCGGCAAACATTTGTAGCTGATGCTTATTAGCAGCTTGTTGGTAGATCAAAAAAATGCAAGCACTGACGCACCAGTAGGTCTAAAGTCGTCCTGCGATTTGTCATGCAACAGCTCCTAATGAGCCAGTCTTACTGTCAGACTGTCTGGCCAGTGCATATTTTTCTAGCCTTAACCAGATGTTCACTGACCATCTAAAGTGTTTTGCACACAACACTAGAAAAATCTGCAGCTTCAATCTGATTCTATTTAATTTCCGGCAGGTTTGACTATTTTAGATAAACCTTTAGGTAAGACTTGTAAAAACTAAAATGTATGGTTTTACTTGTCATTCAGACAGACCCTTAGACGGTTCTTGGCCAAAATACGATGCAATGGGCACTTGATGCCTTTAGACAAAAGTCTGGCAGTGCAAGATGACACTGACATATTAGCTAAAAAGGCGGTGGTTTCTTAAACCTTCTAAAAGCTTTTAAATTTGGTCATTTTAAACCCCATAGTTAATTGTATTCAAAAAGTGCACTGATACATCAATTCAAAAGACTTCTAAACATCATTTAAATGATGATCAAATGAAAATAAATGTTTATTATGTACTGTATTAGGAGACAGATGCTGTAATGGAAGATCCAAGCGCAAAACATTGATCACAAAGTGTGGGAACTGAGGACTGAAGCTATAGGCAAAGTGACCCTTGCCACTAATTTGTTTACAACTGGTGCCTGTGTGTTTACAGTAGCCATGTTTGAGAAATAAAGGAGGGATTGTCAGAAAAACCTGATGGAAAAATCACACCTGTTCTGGCTGACGTGTGTGAATGCATGTGTGAATATGTGTGTTTAGACTGACAGAATCTGCCACTGTGATCCTGAGGGACTCAAGGCAGACAGCGAAGAGAAAGGGAGCTAACAAATGTTGATGAGAAGATAAATTACAAAGACATAAACTAAAAGGCATGTGGATGAGACCTTATTTCACCCCAAAATGAAAAAAGAAAGAAAAAAAGAAAATCTATTTATCCACCCTCGTTTCATTCCAAACAGTTTTGGTTACCACTGACTTTCCTTATATGAAAAAATAAAAACTCACTTGGATATATATACATACTATACAGTATATATATATTTAATTTAATTCATGCATTTAGCAGACACTTTTATCCAAAGCGACTTACAGTGCATTCATGCTATACATCTTTTACCAGTATGTGTGTTCCCTGGGAATCAAACCCACGACCTTTTGCACTGCTGACGCACTGAGCAACAGGAACAATATTATTTATATATATATATATATATATATATAGTAAATAATTATTTTATTATACAGTAATAAAGAATAATAATAATAAATCTTAAAAGTAAAATGGTCAGATTTGGCACAGATATAAGGAACTTTGGGACTTTGGGAGGACAAGCTTAAATGTGACGTCACAGTCTTATGATTATCTCGATGCAAATGTGACCTGTATGTGTTTTTGTATCCTGGGCCTCTATGATGGTGTTGTTTCTAGGGTCTGCTTCACATTCCTGACACTCTTGTTTTTGTTTTCCTCTTTCTTTGCAAAGGTTGCATCTCCTCCCCCTAAACCCATCACTATTCACCACCCAGCTCCCATGATGCACTGCTGCACCCTCTCAAGAATGTGATAAGTCTCATCTCCAAAACCCAAGACCCAAGTCTTTTTCTCCCTCGTCTAAATCGGGTCTGAACTTAATAGTCTGATCATCTCTTTCATAAATGCCTGTGCTGATGTCCTTCTTGCTTTCTTTTTTCTTTCTTTCTTTCTTTCTTTTTTTTCAAAGTGGACTGATGTATGTATGACAGGTTAACATAATGCCCTTGGCTCACAGAACCGTTTTCAATCAATGCAAATGAAAATGCTACTATTTATTTATTCATTAAGAAGGTGCTTTTGTTTGTAGTGATTCACTCAGGCCAGTACTTTCTCCCTCTCTCTCTCTCACACACATACACACACAGTTGTGTGGAACATTAGATATTTGACATTTTAGTATTTCATAAACTGTTCTATGTACTAACCTCTCTATGTAAACAGACTATACTGATGCCATTATTATGATCTTTCATTTCTTTGTTCTGTGATATTTGCAGGCCTTAATCACAAAGAAAAAACTGTGATTAGTTCTCCCTTAAAAGCACCAGTTAACGGATTAGTTCACTTCCAGAATAAAAATGTCCTAATAATTTACTCACCCCCATGTCATCCAAGATGTTCCTGTCTTTCTTTCTTCAGTCGAAAAGGAATTAAGGTTTTTGACGAAAACATTCTGGGATGTGTCTCCATATAGTGGACTTCAATGGGGATCAACGAGTTGAAGGTCCAAATTGCAGTTTCAGTGCAGCTTCAAAGGGCTCTACAGGATCCCAGCCGAGGAATAAGGGTCTTATCTAGTGAAACGATCTGTCTTTTTAAAATAAAAAATAAAAATGTATATACTTTTTAACCACAAATGCTCATCTTGCACTAGCGCGACCTCACACGTTACGTAAGAAAGTGAGCTTGAGTTTTTCGCCCTGCCCTACCATTTTGAACCGAAGTACACAGACAAAGAACTAACCATGCATGACCTTTCCAACGTGATTACACAATGCGTGAAGTCGAGATAGTGTAAGGTGAGCATTTGTAGTTAAAAACCAGGGCCCGAGTCAATATGCTGTTCAGGGGGCCCAGAAAGCATAGCAGCGCCCCTGTTAAAAAGTATATCAATTATTTTTTTTATTTTTTTTTTTCAGAAAATGACCGATCGTTTCACTAGATAAGACCCTTATTTCTCGGCTGGGGCCGAGAAGCTGCCTTTGAAGCTGCATTGAAACTGCAATTAGGACCTTCAACCCATTGATCCCCACTGAAGTCCACTATATGGAAAAAAATCGTAGAATGTTTTCTTCAAAAACCTTACTTTCTTTTCGACTGAAGAAAGAAAGACATGAACATCTTGGATGACATGGGTAAACTATCAGAACATTTTTGAAGTGAACTAATCCTTTAATTATTTTGTGTCTTAAAGGTTTTTTCTCAGACTGTTGCCTCAGAAAGTCAACATATAGCACATCGTTGTAGATATTTTATGCTCTTGCATTGCTGGATTTGCTTTGTCTTTCTATCTTTTTTTCCTCTCTGAACAAGGCAAGATGAATAGAGTGTTTGGGAAATCAGTTTTGCAAAAATTGTTATTATCTGCAGTTCCTTTTGGATCCACTAGTGGCGCAAAAGTTACACTGGACTTTTAAATGCGTTTTTTTGTGCTGAATCAATTTCAAGTGATATGCATACATTTAATGCTCTTCCAACAGAGACCATTTGTCCCCAGTGAAGATGTTTGACATCCTTCCCTGCACTTTGCGGCAGGTTGAATCAACATGGCCACTTTATTGTTGAGCTGTAATCCCTCCCTGTCTCGTCCCCATGGCGTTAGTCCTGTGCGAAAGGAACTAGTGGACTATAATCGCCGCCGTCTCGTGGTCTTTTAAATATTATTGAACAGCACACAAGCGATTTAGAGATTTCCCTGGAATGTATGAAAGTACTTCTTGGGTTTATTTTCAGGGTTTGTGTGTGAGTATATCTATGCAGTTCTCGACTTGTGTGTTCCTTTTAAGATCTGAATGATAAACGTGTCAACTGTGTCATCCACACCTAGCCTTACATGGAAAAGCCAAGTGTATAAGATAGTGGAACATAAAAAAAGATATGAGAGCGAATGGAGAGATGGGACAGGGAGAGAGAGATACTAAAGATACACACAAGAGAAGTGAGAAGTATGTGAGTATATTTGTAAAATACACAGTACAAAGTGACACTGGCTCAACCAATAGCTTGCGTTAGAGGACAATGTGTTTGAAACTAACTTTCCGTTATTTAGACTGGTGCAGAAATGACAATAATCCTCTTTAGCCCTGTCTTTAGCTCGTGATCTTACCGATCTGCTCTGCTGCATGCAGCTGTGTGTGGGCCTGCGCCTGCGCCTGCGTCTGTGTCTGCGCTTGCTGCTCCTGCAGACTCTGGCTGTCCACTGAGATGCCGCTGTCACTGTGCAGCTTCTCTCCCTCTGGAGATGGTGTCTGATTGGCTGTGGCTGCGCGATTATTAGCTGCCTGTTTATTCTGCTTGCAGCTGTTCCACCTGGAAGGCACAGATGCACATGTATAGTACAAATGAAAGTAATGAGTGAGAGGAAAGCATCAATTTCAATTTCAATTTCAACAACAAACACATATGTTTGCACAGTGGTGTTTTTTAATATGCTTAAATATGTGTCTTTATTACTATTTTTCGCAATGTAATTTAATTTGATTTGTTTTAATCGTTTAATTTAATTAATAGTTTGTTGTGATTATGTTAATATAAATAACATATCACATACAGTAATGTAATAAAGTAATTATTAAACATAATTAGCTGAAACAATCATCTAAAAATGACTTAACCCTTGTGCTATGCTGAAAATCCTTTATCTGATTTGGTGTTCCCAGTCAAAAATGACAGGCTGGTAACACTTTACTTAAAGCCTTATATGTATAATGCATTATAAAGGGTTATTAAAGGGTATAATGCATTATAATTATTCATAATGTGCATTGTAATACATTATATCTTGTCGTAAATAAGTACAACTGAATTTAAAATGCATAGTGTAAGTGTTATAATGTATTAACTGTGGTTACAATTATTTATGAGATGCAATACAATCATGAGATACAATGCATTATAAGCAATGAAGTAATGATGCAAATGATGGTGCTATATAAAGCTATTGACTTTAAGTCATAAATTCAGTAAGTTTGAATAGAAAGCAAAATAAATATCTCTATGGAGGAAATAAATAAATGGCTTTTACTTATAGAACCCAACTGTTGTACTTATACACATATACCACTTTCCTTTGTTTTACTGTTGAACTCTTCGCTCTTTCTCAAGAAAAGAGTCCAGAATCGAGTGGAGATTATGGTTCATATCTTTCATGACTGTAAAATTGGTGGTGACAGGGTTCGATCTGGCTCAGCAGGAGGTCTTCACGTTGCCATGACTGTCTAAAACATTCTCATTCTCAGCTGAACTATTCCAGAGCGGCCATATGCGTGACTGATTGAGCAGTGCTGAAACAGAGAACCTTTTTGCAAGAACTTTGGTTTGATTTACAAGAAGCTCAGCTAAAGGAGGAAATAAAGTTGAAGGTGCCGTTTAAGAACCAGCGCTCTTGATTAACATGGACAAAACATTTAGGATTTGGAAACTGCTGTTAATCTTGCCTTTGATCTCACCACAGTATGAAAATTCAGCTTAAGCTGGCTATTGACCAGCCACTATGTTCTAAAGCCAAAAATCATTCTAAAAGTGATTCCAGCGATATCGTTATAGGTGTGGTGTGGACTTCCCTATAGACCTTAGACAGGGTAGCACACAGGAATGAAAACGAGACTGTGAGGAATAGAAGTACAGTGCTTTCAATGGATAGTACTGTTGTTTAAACAACATACCGATTATTCAGCTAACAAAACATCTTTCCAAAATACTTTCAGTACACAAAAAACATTTTTAAAATGTGTGAGAAGATGATTTAGGACCTTTATACAGTGTAAAGACTGCAAGTCAGCCTAGTTTTCATCTGCATTAAAGGGGTCATAAACTGAGAAATCAATTCCCTTGATCTTTTGACATATAAGAGGTCATTACTATAAAAACATCCTGTAAGTTTCAGAACTCAAAACTTTGTTGTTAGTCTAAAAACAGCTTATATTGAAAGCAGTCTGCAAAATGACAGTTTGTGGAATGTGTAACTCTATGATGTAATAGTGTGGATAAACATCGCCTCCGCAGAGGAAGATCAACGCCTGCTTCTACATCACTGCCTGTTTAGCCCCGCCCACCAATTCACACATGTAGTAGGTAAATGACAAGAGTGGCAAATAAAGCTCTACTTAGAAACCATAAAAAACATTTTTAAAATGTGTGAGAAGATGATTTAGGACCTTTATACAGTGTAAAGACTGCAAGTCAGCCTAGTTTTCATCTGCATTAAAGGGGTCATAAACTGAGAAATCAATTCCCTTGATCTTTTGACATATAAGAGGTCATTACTATAAAAACATCCTGTAAGTTTCAGAACTCAAAACTTTGTTGTTAGTCTAAAAACAGCTTATATTGAAAGCAGTCTGCAAAATGACAGCTTGTGGAATGTGTAACTCTATGATGTAATAGTGTGGATAAACACCGCCTCCGCAGAGGAAGATCAACGCCTGCTTCTACATCACTGCCTGTTTAGCCCCGCCCACCAATTCACACATGTAGTAGGTAAATGACAAGAGCGGCAAACAAAGCTCTACTCAGAAACCATATGATACACTCTATTTGATTAACTTTATTTTTAATGAAGTTCCAGACCACGTCAGTAAAAGCTTGGTTGTTTGTTCACTTAATTTTACCATGGATTCATTTACAAACAAGGCACAATTCGACACAGGATTTTCAGAAAGATTGAAACTAAAAGATGATGCTGTGCTGACTATATTGGATCAGACAGTAATGTCTCAACACAAGTGTGAGAAACTGCTTTTATTACATGGTAACTTTTGCTTTGTCTGTTATTACAGATCATTTGAAATGTACTGAGTATTTGTGCATTTTTAACCTAAATCACAGCAGCGTCCATCTGTGAAGAATGTAGGCTATCAAACATACACTACTATTAGCCAATCATGCAGTGGGCTTCTAAATTATGTTTTTTGATGTAAAAATCTTGAAAACTTTATAGGTGGACCTCAGAGAACGGTACAAAATAAAAAAACAAAGGCAGTTCATGACCCCTTTATATTCAGTATGACGTCTAACCTGATTAAGGTCTCGGTCTATTATTAAAGCTTAATAGTTATTGTTATCATTACAGTTATCGTCCTTGGTGTGAACCAGCTAGAAACCGGCTACTCTGTTCCACAGCTACTAGCTTATTGTTTTTGCTTCATTTTATAGTCTATGAAGTGTCTGTAAAATATGAGTCATGTTTGAATATTAAAGTCATAATGAAAGTGACTTAGTTATGAGCTGTTTAACAATTAATTAAAGAACATTGTTTTATAGGTTGATTTGCAGACACGCACACACAGTCTTCTTATCTTTGGCACACCTTTCAAACTGGTGGGCATCTAAAGATGTGCAGCAGCCCTCTTTCTTTTCTTTATCAGTCTCTTTCACTTGCTGTCTCTCCCTCAGTAGCTGTCAGTCTTCTCAAGACCTCTCCGAGCCCGTCTCCTCCCTCTTTCTTGATGGAAACATTCATTTGTTTTCTGAACGAGTATGCACTAAAAGTTAAACGATTTCTGAAAGTGCTCTCTCTTTTTCTTTCTCTGTCTATCTGATTGAAAGCAGAGTATGTGAAATTGCGATATGTGGATGTGTTTTCAGCCTGACTGAGCTTGAAACCTGAGTGAAAACGAGGATTTGCTTTTTTTGGACGGAGGCTGTAAAACTCACCCAAGCCAAAGGTTAACAATTTCTAATTCTTCTCTTTTTACTTTAAACATCTTTCTTCTTAAGTGGGCGTTTTCGTGACGAGGTGCCAAGTGTGAAGTGCTTGTTAACCCTCAGCTGGGTGCCTTATTTAATGAGGAGTCTTTATTCTCCTCCTCTCACAGTGCTGTTTTTTGGAAGGGATTTTAATGCCTATCTGGCAACCCTTTTCAAGTTTGTTATAATGGCTCTCTTTATCTAACAGAAAACACTCTCGAAAGACTGTCACACACACAGCAATCCTTATTCTCTCCTCGTGTGTGTGTGTGTGTGTGTGTGGGGGAGTGTGTGATAGACAGGAGGGGGAACGATAAGAGCCTGATGTGTGTGTGTGTGAACGGATGGATGGCTAAATGAACAGAAGCTTTGCTGTTAAGTGCTCTGATTAGCTGCAGTAATTACACTAGCAGGAGGCATTAACACACACGTACACGCACACACTTATTAATCTGTCTTAAACAAGGATTTGTTATTTAAAATATATATATAAATAGAGAAGTTCTTAAATTTGTTTATCTATGCAGGTTTGTTTTTTTGTTGTTTGTTGTTTAGATTTAATTTACATTTTATTTTAAATGAGTCTTTTCAGTTTAGTTTAGGTTTTGTTAGTTTTCATTTTACCATAGTTAGCTCTAGTTTTATAAAATGCCAAGTACAATTGATTTGTATTTTATTTTAGTCCCAGTTATGAAACTGTATTTTATTTTAGTTTGCTTTTTCCCAGGTAATTAAGCTTTTATTTTTATTTTAGTTAACAAAAATCAGTGTTTGTTTTATTTAATGAGAACAACGCTGAGTATGCATTCTGGTCGCCTTATAAACATTACTACCCATAAGATCTTCTTACATGTTGACGTAAAATCAGTTTTTGTGCAGCAAAAAAATGTACATTCTAGATAGAAAAGCACACACACCCCTCCCTCCATGCACAGCTCTCCCAGAACAGGAGACACGGGCCAATAATAATGCTTTGAATTTCTTGAAATAAGCATTTCTGATTATTCAAGTTCTCTCTCTCAGTCTTTATTCGCTTGTTTCTCATGGTTTCTCAACAGAATTCATGAAAGTTAAGTATGTGAATTACACCGCTAACACCATAGAATAACCTAGTTCTAATAGCACAGTAACACCTGCGCAACTGGGATTTACATAGTGTCTTCTGTTAGTTAGCTAGGCATTAAAGAACTTTCTAATCTCTTAAATAACAGATTGGAGATTAAAATAATAGTAGATTTGTCTCAATTTAAATAACCACTAAAAACTGAGAATAAAATTGATCTCCAGTAAGAAATGTGATATTCCCCCCCAAATGTTTTTTTATCTATATCAGTATTGTTACTGTTAACTCAAAGTATTAAATTAAGTAAAATTATTTAATTATTAGAATATTGCTTAAATAATATATCAATATTTGATGAAACACTTGAAATGAAAAATAGAAATATTGCATGGGCTACTAACTGAAAGAAGTTTATGAAGAACTAAAATGACTAAAATTAAATGTAAAAAAGCCATAGGCCTATTAAAATATTAAAACATAAAACTAATAAAATGATAAAAGTACATGGGAAAACCTTTAAACAAATAATACTAAAATAACACTGGTGCATAATGAGTCATATCAAAGATGAACAGTGTTTTCTTTGCCACTGCAGCCATCTATCTGAGCAAGTGAGTGACGATGTGACAAAACAATAACGCTTGGAGTGGGAAATGAAACCTGGAGTAGAGTTGGTGCAGAACAGCAATGCAATTCTTCAGGGGGAGAGGAGAAATTTTGCCGTCGCTCCACTCCACTCACACACTCTGATATGTATCTGTATGTGTGTGTGTGTGTGTGTGTGTGATGCAGTAGCTGCGATAGAGGTCACAGATTGAAACCCGAGAGTAAGAAACTCCAGCGGCCTTATCGATCCAACAAAGGAAAGAGCTCAGCACATCTCTCTCTTTCTGTCACACACACAGACAGACACATGCCACTTAAGTCCGTATGTGCTGCAGGAAATGAATCATGGACCACCAGCGTGGAGAGAGACTGGTCATTCAGGCATGTGTGCCTTTGACTCCTACGGTGGTCGTTCTCATGAAAGAGCTTGTTTTTAATGCGCCACCCTCATCAAAGGGCACAGAAATGACTGACCCACCAGAGAAATAGACATGAAAGGGTCAGAGATACACAGACAGCGAGCGAGATGGATAGAGAGAAGCAGGAAAGGTCACGTATAAGGTCATTTTAAGGATGATAATGTGGTGCTCGCGGAGGGTGGTCATCTGTACAGAAACACACAAGGACCTCTATGACTGTGTGTGTGTGTGTGTGTGTGACAGGGCAGAACAAGGCTGCTCTGTGCTGCAACCGTACACACAAAGGATGATCATATTATCTTCAGGACAGTGTTGTGGGAGATATTTTGAAACTGTAGCTTCCAATTATACAAGCTAATAATAAAGTAGTTGAATTACAGTCAAATGAAAAAGTAGCTTAGTTTTCTACACTACAAGTTAATAACAAAAAGTAGTTTGCAAACTTAAATGCAGTTATGATTGTAAACGTATACACACTACCATTCACATTTTTTTTACTGTTATGGCAAAGCTGATTTTTTTTTTTTTTTTTCCTTTAGAAATCATTCTGATTTGGTGCTCAAAAAATATTTATTATGTGCTGCTTTTTTTCTTATTTTTTTTAAAGGATTCTTAAATAGAATATAAATAACAATTAACAGAATATGAATACAAAGTTTAAAAAAAAAAAGAAACTTCACTCTCATTTTTGATCAATTTAATGTGTCCTTGCTGATGCAAAGCTGAATTTTCAGCATCATTACTCCAATCTTCTTTTTTTTTTTTTCCTTTAGAAATCATTCTGATTTGGTGCTCACAAAACTTTTTTAGTATTATCAGTATTGAAAACAGTTGTGCTGCTTAATATGTTTGTGGAAAGTGTGATACATTTTTTTCAGGATGTCAAAGAACAGTTAATAATACCATTATAAAGGTCTTGTCACTTTTGATCAATTTAATGTGTCCTTGCTGAGTGCATTTTGTGATTTCTTTCAAAAACAAAATCTTACTGATCCCAAACTTTTCCAAATGTAAGTATGCAAAAGGCAAAGACAAAAATAATTAAAAATGTCAAATAATGTGACATCTTTACATTTGAAAATACAATTACACTAAATAAAATTAAATAAACTAGCAAACAGTGATTTGATAAGTTAACGGGAACACAACACTAGCTGTCACATTTCAGCTCTTTGCTTATTTTTTCTCTATTTGTGTCATTTGTGTCTCTTCTCTCTTCTCCTCACAGGAAAGAGGCTGATGAGAGTCACATGAGAGCAGGAACTGCTGCCAGTGAAGCTGAACGTGTGTGTGTGTGTGTGTGTGTGTGTCTGTGTGCTAGTCCTGACAGCACTTGCAGATGCTTTATGATTTACAGGTTCCATCTGCAGAGATATCTCCTTATGCTGCACACATTATGCTACCCCAAATACACAGCAGAGCACTTCAAGTCACACACCTTAAACACAGTTTTAGCAAACATTCACTTTGTAAATCAGATAAAAGTGTGTATTTTGTTGAAATTAGTTTGATATGTTCATAAGTAAAGGCTTTTAACTACTGTATGTGGCTGTTGTTCTTCCTAAACATTGCTCTGTTTTTTGAGGTTGCGGTTCTGGACTGCTCAAAGTTTGAGTTTGCCTGTGTGAAAAACATTCAGGAAACCTGTTTGGAAACAATCCATTTTTTGCTAATTCATTTTTTTTTTGCCACTGGACTTTACCTTTTTGTTGCCTGGGATGCATCAGGACACATTAGCATTTACACAAGAAATTCCATGCGATCACATGCATTTTTCAGCTACCTCTAAATGTGGTTTGAGTGATCCAATAACAAAGCTGTTTGGACCCCCGGTTACACCTGTAGTTAGCATTGTCCATTTGTGATCAGATTACCTGAGACAGATGTTAATCTGGGTGTGACACACACATGAACCAAAGGGCCAGGGCTGACACTAAACCCCAAACTGACAGATCCAGCCCACCCAATCCTCGTCAGCAGCAGCAGCCATAATGACCCTCACACACATACAGCCCCAGGCTTCAGACATCAGACAGTCCCACCGCCCAAGCGCTAGCACACTAATGCAATGACACGCCACATTACATGCCCTCTCCAGCCATGAAAACAGAGCTTTCTCTGTGTGTTTAGTTGAGCGTGAGTGTTAAAGAGGTAGAAAAAGGGCCATCATTTCACTTGCTGGCCACAGCCAGAGTGTCTCTTTGGTAACCACAGTCCTAACAGAAACAAACATTCACCTGCTCGCGTTTTAGTTAGTCTGTGAAATATAAAGGACTTTGAGAAGGACAATAAAGTATGGTAGGAGACATCTTGAAGCACTACTTGCTGATCAAGGAGCTCATGAAATAATCCCAGAAGGAGCTCTTTGGTTGGGTTTGAAACAACTATCACGAAAAAGAATTCAAGGCACTTTTTCTGGTCCAAAAAAGTTAAAAAGCCTTTATTCACGTTCTGGCCATCTCAACAAACATTAAAAATGCCTAAAACTCTGTACACTGATGCATTTCAGCCTTCAGCCTTCCTCACAGTGTGTGGATGATAAAGTGGACAATAAAGTACTTTGATTATATTATATTATTATATATAATTATATTATTCCACACTGTAAACTTAAAGGTATAAAAATTCATTTGTGCCTGTATAAGTGCAATTTTTTAATAGTAGATCAAGCTGATTTGTGATTTTATTTTGTAATTGTGTGTAGTTTTTTCTATTATTATATAGCAATATAAAAACTCCATATAGCAACATGGAGTCTACACAATTCTCACAATATTATATTATATTATATTCTGATAATAAATTTATATTATCAATAATTTAAAAAGAAAATCCGCCATTTTAGCACAACTAGTGGCACAACATGGAACTGCAACAGTCTTTATTTTTCTTTATATATATTTTTTTTTTTCTTACATTTTTTTGGAACGCCGAATTTTTATAAAAGCCATAAAGCCAGATGAGGTTTACAGTGATTTTCTTTTCTCTCTCTCTCTTTTAAGAAGGTATAAGAACATCTATTACCTGTTGTAAAATCACTGTGATCCACATGCCTGCTTTTATACATGTGTGTTTGCATGTGTCACTGGGTTTGACCTTTTGGACTGCTGTGACCTCTATAACTACAGGGCTTTGCACAGAGTATCCACACTGTGACCTTTAAACTGCAAGGCCACAATCAGACACATACGGAAACACATGGAGGAAAGCAAACATTTTGACTGAGACTGAGAGAAATTAGCTGTTAGAAAGAGTGTGAGAGAGATCAGGCTCGTATACAGCCAAACAAGTTGCTTGTGGTGTTCATGCAGTTGCCCATAGTGATTGACCACAGGCTACAAATACTACAAGTGCACACTTTATGTGCAACTTAAATATGCAGGAAAAACCTGCAGAAGTAAACTGAAAAATGAAGCAGAAATATAGTTTATGACAAACATGGGGAAAATATTTTAAACTAAAATACCCATTATATACACTTTTTTATTTTTCCTTATATTTGTAACAAACCGTATATAAACTATATTTCTATCATTTTTAATCATTTTCCTTTTTAATATAATTTTGTTTTTGTTTTTTATTCAGTTTTTTTTTATGCTATTATTTGGTTTATATTTTGATTGTGTTTGCACATGATATTCTTGATGGTATTATTCTCTCACCATGACACCATGCATCTTCATAGGGTGTGCAGTTCCTCATGAGAATCTCTATTCCCTCCTCGCAGATGGTGCAGGGCAGGCAGGGGTCCAGCGTGCTCTCCTGATCAGAGTAGGTGTCGTCCAGACACTCCTCACAGACCGTGTCGTGTGTGTGCTCGCAGCGTATCATCACACCATGACCGCGTGGACACACGGTGCACGGCTCGCACTGGTGCGTCAGGTCGCTCATGAAGTAGCCGTAGTTGCACACGCACACAGCGTCGTTCGAGTCGGTGCAGGGGGTCTGCATGCGCATGAGACCCGTGCACTCTATACACGTCTGACACTTCTCTGTGTGGCTGAACGTCTCAGAGAACGTCTCACCTGGAGAAAAAGAGACCGAGAAAAATCATCAGAATGACAAGATAATTACAACCTGCCCGTCTGCTGTTAATAATGACCCCTCAGGTTAAATTATTACGTCCTTAGTGCTTTAATTACAATTCATCAGTGATGATAGTAATAATAAGACACTACAGGCATGGAAAAACTGAGGGGAGACGTGTGAAAAAAGACAAAGTGGAAAAATTTGTAATCAAGGAAAGGAATGGTGTGCTAGATTGTGTTATAGAGATCTGTGTGTTTTCATTTCAGTATGGCAATGATTTCTGAAGTCTACTTGGCATTACTGAATACATAATGCATCTGAGTTTAGTTGCTTTCAGACCCGATTATGAAACAGACTTCAGATTTCAGAATAGCTGTGCAGGCCAAAGGTTTTTCCACACCTGTAACATCGTCCCATTTGCCCCTGCTGGTAGATGTCATAACTATGGCTGCAAAGAGCGTCTTTCTCAATGGACCCCTTTTTTACAGGTGGTGATGACATTTTTCCACAGATATTAACAGTGTGACATTGACGTTAATATAGCAAACTTTTTTTCAATTATGTACATCTATGACACTTTACTTTGTGTTTTATTAGCTCTGCCTTAAATTACAGAAAACTAGTTAACATTGCTACATGAGTTTTTCTAATACAGAGTGATGAGAAATTTGACACATCTCACTCTTCTGGCCAACATAATCAATCTCTCAATATTTGTTCCACTTTTGAAAGTCATGGAAATTCTGTTGTTAATATTTCTTTTGTTATTGGCGCAAATGGGAATGCAAAATGTATTCATTCACCACATAGGTAGTTTACCCAACTATAATGACTTCTGCGAACGCTGGAAATGTGAAAAGGGTCCATAGAAGACCATTCAAAATAGTAGTCTTTTCTGACTTTACTGGATCATTTTTTGCAAGCAGCATTATGTTTCATATTATGAAGTTCCAAACGCAGGTTCGGTAGTTGCCTATTCATTCGCTCAAACCAAGCCTCGGGTTCGAGCCTCCATTGAGGACAGCGAGCAAAGTTCATTTACCATTAACCATCAGGACTGGATGAGCAGTCCTTGAACTCATGGAATAGATGTTTTGCTGCTGACAGTCGCAGCTCTAGTGAAGGGTTTGGGACTGTATGCGTTCTTGTGTCTTGAATCAATCAGTGTTGTCACAATAACATTTTTAGCAGAGTGACTAGTCACATGGCATTCATGGCTCAGATGATTTGCTCAAAAAGCTATGATTACCATAAATTACATATTTCCCAGTTTTTCTACAGCAGTTGAGCACTGATGCATGTAAATGGCACTGCTAATGGATAGTTTTTCCTATATGTGAGTTTGAGATGCTGTATGAAAATAAAACATTGGGATGAAAAAAAATAAAGTGTGACAGGCATTTTAGATGACGTGGAGTTCTAAGGGATTGTAACGTAATCCCAGCAAATTTTGGGATTTAAATATCTGTCCCTAGATTTTGTGTCACTCTGATAACAGGAGAGGAGAAAGCAAGGACGAGAGGACAATAAGAATGTGTTTGTTTGGTTTTGGTTTGTTTTCACAGGAAGAGGAAGCGCTTTATGCTTGATGATCTTCTATAAACCAAGTTGTTTTAAATGCCTGGTCACAGCCATGGCAGCTCTTGCTTATGGGGGTCTCTGGCAGTCTCCCAACACCCCAGACAACTAACTTTCTCTTTAAAGGTCAATTCACACCACACCAGCAAATGCCAACAAAGGCAACAGACACATTTGTCGGGTTTTTTATCTGATCAGTATGTTACCCGTTTGTATCTGATGCCATTATTCGGCGCTTGTTTTCGTTGATTTAACGCGTTGAATCGGCATTTGTTGGATCTTATAATTAATAATAATAATAATAATTCAGGTCAGAGGCCAATGGGCAAATTTGGCCAGGATGCCGAGGTCACACCTCTAGTCTTTTCGAAAGACATCCTGGGATTTTTAACGACCATAGAGAGTCAGGACCTCGGTTTAACGTCTCATCCAAAGGACGGTGCTTGTTGACAGAATAGTGTCCCCGTCACTATACTGGGGCGTTAGGACCCACACCGACTGCAGGGTGAGCACCCCCTGCTGGCCTCACTAACACCTCTTCCAGCAGCAACCTAGTTTTCCCAGGAGGTCTCCCATCCAGGTACTGACCAGGCTCAGCCCTGCTTAGCTTCAGTGGGCAACCAGTCTTGGGCTACAGGGTGATATGGCTGCCGGCTAAAAAGTCTGAGAAAAGTCTGAGAAATTACGTACTGTACTCTGTCAGCTGTCAGCGTTGGTCTGTGTCAGTTGTGTGAATTGATCTTAACAGTCCTCATAGAAAAGAAAAATGACAAATGAGATCCCTTTGTTTCTACTACACAGTAGTAAGATTCAATTTAGAGACTTTTGTCTCTAAGTTTAGATTTGCTAATATAGTGTATAATCAAAAGTCGGAGATTTTTCATTCAATTTTCCAAGACCACATGATCTCCTAAGGAATTCTAGGAGAAACATCTGAGACAAAGTTGACAATTACGTGAAACATAACTGAGAAGCCTCTCTGAGCAAAAACATGTTCCTCTGGGCTATCGTGTGGAAACAGAAGGTCAAGTATTCATTCCCCCTGTTGCACAAAGCAATAAAATTTGAAACCTGTTCAGACCAATTTATGTCCTGCAGATAATATATCATTACCATAAAAGGATCTGACAGATAAATCTGAACTATTCTATTGGACTTTCAACTCCTCTTTTATATTACAGCCAAGATCTTACAACAGACAGCAAAGGAATGGGAACAGGATGTGAACAAGACATCATAGGTTGAGAAGGCAAAAACATAATTTTTGCTTCAGTACAGCAAAAATGGAACTCTTTTATTTCTACATAAACACTTAAAGGCGGATTCTACAAGTTAGAGCTGTTAACACCAAATAAACCAGCCATATTTGTCTGAGGATGAAGATAATATCTGAGAAAGAAAGCGGTTCCTCACAGCGAGCAGCAGATACACATCTGCACATTCATGAGAAATGTCATCACCAGCACACTAATCTAACGGTTCTCCACATACGGTTTAGAAATGACAGTTTTTCTTCTTTAGACTGGTCCGACATGCAGTAAGGGTAAGATATTATCAAGCTGAGGTATTCACACAAGCACAAGTGGGTTTCTAATCTCTCCTGCATGTGTCTCTCATGTGTGTCCCTGGTCTTTTATTCTCATGGTGATAGATAAATAAACAAACAAACAAACAGAGATAGGCAGAAAAACATACAGATAGATCTCTGCTGGAAATGTTCTTGTATTCCTGGAACACAGGACAGCTTTTCATCAAACACCACAAACATGAAACAAAAACAGGCCCACGGCTGTTTTCCAGAGGAATATTTCATCCGTTCATAGCTCGGGAGACTTTTTTAAAAATCTGCCATTTAGTCACCCTCATGATGTTTCACATTTAGCTGATTGATTGAAAAAAATGGTGTAGAAACAATTTTCACTCAGAAATTACTAGTAAATGTAACAATTCATTACGGCAAGTAACACATCTACCTGTCTGTCTGTCTGTCTGTCTATCTACCTGTCTGTCTGTCTGTCTATCTATCTGTCTACCTGTCTGTCTGTCTGTCTGTCTATCTATCGGTCTACATGTATATATATACATACCAGTGGTATTCTGAAAGAAGGAGGAAAAGTCCTCAATTTTTTTTTAAGCAAATCTAAATTCTTGACACATCACATTTTCTTGTTTTAATAAACATTATTTAAACTATCAGGGGGAAAAAAACAATTCTATTTGATATTTTTACATTAAAAATGTTATCAATATTCTATTTATTAAAGCCAAGTATGAATCTCATCAAGTTAGTTTTTAAGCATTTTACATTCATTACAAAATAATAACTCAAGGCAGTAACAATTTAAACAATATTTTTTATTTGTGAACTTATGTTCAGCTATTCTTTTTAATAGTTAACTTTTAACTATTTTTTTATTTTTCAGGTCATCAGTCATCAAAGCTCAGTAAATATTGGTCACAGACATGGAGATTTACTTTAAATTACTGATTAATCACTAAAAAACCCCACAGATTAAGTTTTCAAGCCATTTTAAGTACCTTTTATCGTAACAAAGTGGTTATATCTAAGTGTGTAAGTTGTTTGTTTACTTTTTTGAATTAGTCTTTTCATTAAGACCATTATATTGTTCATTCAGACCGATTTGTGAACGCACACGATCACACGAGGTGGGATTTATCGCATGAACCAATCACAGCCGAGCATAACCAGTCAGATCCAATAATATCACATTGCCTTCTTTCACGTGACTTTTCCGCATTCATTGTCAATTACTCCCCACAAAACTCACCGCATGCTTTAGGGGGTCTGTTAAAACTCAATGGGCTAAGGGGAGGCGAGAGACGTATATATATATATGTATATATATATATGTATCATTTATGTAATGAAAGTGTGTGTGTGTGTGTGTGTGTGTGTATACACACACATTTGACGTTGTTTGTCGGTTTTGTGTTTACTATAATATCCCTGACCTTGAGAGAGGAACACATGGCCCCCATGCTGTCTGATCTCCATCTTATTTTCATTATTTCTATAGTTTGACTTTAGTGTTTACTTTTTTCCTTCTTGTTTGAGTTTACTTTAAACATTTCATCTTTATGGTGAGTAAAGACTATTGTGACATTCGTGTGGAGCGTGTGCATTAAACTGTGAACAGACGAACAGAGCACCAGCCGGGTTTTCGCAGGGATGCACCTGAACGCAGCCGTCCCTGCACTGATTATAAACACATATCACAACACTAACAGAAACAACAGAGCGCCCACCCACACACACACACATGCTCTGCTGATGACTGTTTACACGCATAATAAATACCTTCATCACACACAACCGTTTCTGTCAGGAGGGCCAATGGAAAAAGACTGGGACTGCCTCATGCAGCGCGTCTTCCTGTGATGTCATCAGCCCAAGTCTCTGTGCTTTCATCCTTTTACAGTTACAGATAAATCAGCCAGGTGCATGAGATCTTTTTACGCTCTTTCAGAGCTGGTTTTCTGCTTGGCTGTCATTTGCTGGAGGAGAACTGTAACTGGGGATGTTTGCCAATATTTTGCTGGCACATTTTGAAAGATTTTGTAAAGTAACTTAATACTGAATGGGCAGAGGAAAAATGTCCATTGCGTAATGCACTGTATTCTGATTTATAATCACAACCATATCGGTTTATCGGAACAAACTGGAATGTATTTCTCTCTCTCTTGTTCTGTTTTCACAATTCAGTTGTTCCTTATTAGTATGACTGTTTCTGTTATAATACAGTTAAAGTAATAAATCAAAGCTGCGTGGAATAGTAGAGCGGCTGCATAGGCCAATAAAAACAGCGAAGGCTCCAGTCCTGAGTTCTGCTTAAATGTTCAGTAGCATTAACCTCTCTCTGTTTCTTTTATTTCTTTCTTTCTCTCTCTCAGATGAATAAGGGCTGTATTAGTCTCAGTCTGGTTGGGTTAGGGCATCTGATGTTGCCTGTGCTTAAGTAGCATTATCTAATGCTGTTATTTCCCAAATCCCCATTCAGCTCTGTCTAAAATGACACACTGACTGATTCCAGTTCAGCACGGCTCCCACAGTACCTCTTACAAACAGAATATATGGTCCCACTTTATATTAAGTGGCCTTAACTACTATGTACTTACATCAAAAAATAAGTACAATGTACTTATTGTGTTCATATTGTATTGCAAAACACTTTTGCTGCTATTAAGGTGGGATACGGGTAAGGTTAGGGACAGGTTTGGTGGTATGGGTAGGTTTAAGGGTGGGTTAAGGTGTAAGGGATGGGTCAACAGTGTAATTATAAATGTAATTACAGAAATTAATTACAGATGTAATTACATGCAGGTATTTTTAAAATATAAGTACAATGTAAAAACATGTATGTACACAATAAGTGCATTGTACCAAATGATTAATTTAAATGTAAGTACATAGTTGTTAAGGCCACTTAATATAAAGTGGGTCCGAATATATAATAGACTGACTTCCATTCACAGTTCACTTCAAAAACAACAAAGAGCCTTTAAATTATGCATTGTATAAAAATATAGGTAAATCTTATGAAAATATGTCCAGGTCACCTTTCCTCTAAAATCCAGAAAAATATTTTAGATTTTGAATAAAGAAAACCTGTTTAGAACCTATTTAATATTTTGTTTTCATATTTCAATTTAAACAACTTTTAATAAATATGGTAATGGTGGTAATTCTTGCTAGATTAGACAAATTTTAATTACATTAAAGTAAATGTTTTATTTTTTAAATCTGCATAAATTAGTCAATACAACAAATACTACCATAAAATAAATGCGCTGTAATAGACCAAAAAATATAAAAATATATATGTTGTCTATTACAGTGCATTTATTTTAGCGTTTGGGATTAGAGTTTGCAACAAAAAAAACATATTATATATATATATATATATATATATATACACACACA